AGGATTAAATTGAGAGTTTAACCATAAGAAAACTCATATTGAGTTGGAATGTCATACCATACAGATGTGGAGAGTTAAAAGATGGGTGGTGCTGTAAGGATAATATTTTTATAGTATTTTTTGATATAATTTTTATATTATTAAATGAGTGAATATATTTAATATTACAAGTTTTATATAAATAAAAAAAATTAATTACTTAAATAACATATTAAATTATAAAAAAAATAATATAAAAAAATTGTTCGAGAATAATTTCCACACAGGAATGTTATATTTGATTATGCAATCCAATCCAAGAATTTTTTTTTTCTTCAAAGGGAAAATCAACTATAGTGGCAGTTAATATATTGGGCTAGAAAACTTAAAAGTTGATACATTTGAATCAGCCCAAAAATCTGTGGATTGGATTTACCAAGGTCCATGATCCTGGATCTACCAAAGGCCCAACCCGACATAGTAGCCCTAGCATCTTCCCTCTTCTTCGTCTCTTAAACCTCCATAAACCCTTCTGAAAAAGCAGAGGCAAAACCTGCATGAACGCTTTCTCAATTCAAAACCCAAACTTTTGAATTGGGTTTCGACATTTTCCCTGATTTGTGTTAGCAGAACGGTTTTCGAAGTGAAGTATCTGTGTTAGCTGAAGATGACAGTGCCTTCGAAGAAATCCCAGAAGGGAAAATCCAAGGACGGGAAGCCTAAGCTGAACAAAGCTTCAAGGAAAGAATTCAAAGCGAAGAAGGGTCCGAAGGAGGCCACTCGGGCCGAGACTGCTTCTCTACAGCTCGAAGATGATGTCCCTGACTTCCCTAGAGGTGAACCTTCCGTTTGTTTGCCGGGAAAACTCAGGAAAGATGTTAAAAAGGGAAGAAATTGATATTTTTATTCCTTCACTAATGGGAAGGAATGGAATGAGTTTCAGTAAATTTGTTGAATTGAAATTAGTAATTGTTGTATTTGGTCTGCTGTATGCTTATTCAAGTTCTTTTTCAAAAAAAAAAAAAAAAAAAGTTATTGAAGCCTTTTTTTTTTTTTTTAAAGTAAACGAGGATCGAAATTCTAGTTGTGCAAGTATATAGAGATGCTTGTCTTTGATGAGATACTAAACAGAAGCTTAACAGGTGGAGGGAGTTCTCTGAGTAGGGAAGAACGTGATCAAATTCGTGCTGAAGTAGATGCTGAATTTGAGGCAGAGGAGAGAGGGTTGAAGAAGGGTAAGAGGAAAAAGCTGCAGAAAAATAGTCCGGCCCTGGTTGATGATTTGGGATCACTTTTTGGTGATGGTATTACTGGCAAGTTACCAAAATATGCTAATAAGATTACTTTGAAGGTGAGGAGCTGAAAGGAAATTTTTCTTCCCCCTCCCTCTTTCCTCTTGATGTTTTTACATGGGTAAATTTCTCTAATGCCTTGTGTTTATGCAGAATATTACTCCAGGAATGAAGCTTTGGGGTGTTGTTTCTGAAGTAAATGAGAAGGACCTTGTAATTAGCCTGCCGGGGGGCTTACGTGGTTTAGTTCGTGTAGCTGATGCATTTGATCCTGTTTTCAGTAATGAAGATGATGTGGTAATTTTGTCTTCTTAAAACTATATGTTCCTAGGTGAAATTCTGTTCTTTTATGTAGCATTATTTCCATGATTCCAGATTCAATTTCATTCTTAGGCCAAATATGCAATGATGGAGTTATTTATTTTCATTTTTTTTTTTTTCCAGGACAAGGAAGACAGTTTTCTTCCAACCATATTCTATGTTGGTCAGCTTGTTGCTTGTGTTGTATTGAACTTGGATGATGATAAGAAAGAAAGTGGCAAAAGAAAGATATGGCTTTCTTTGCGTCTTTCTTTGTTGCACAAAGGTTTCACTTTGGATGCTATTCAAGAAGGGATGGTATGTTCATTATTATAAATTTTTTTATAGGTGAATATATTCCTTTTGTTATTATTAACTCCATTATGCAAACTGCTTAGTTTTATTAGGTAGGTCCTCAAATGGTCCATCTCTTGGGAATCAGCAAGCATTTCTTTTGTAAATTGAACATGAAAGATCTTTGCTGTATTCCTTTGATATTTGTTACTGTTAAACATTCTTGGATATTTGATTAGAATGCGAAGTGAAGTGAATAAGGTACAGTGATTCCAGAGTGAAAGTGATATTCTGAAAATTGCCATTGGTTATCTTTTGCTGGCTATATACTTAGTATGCTTTTCTCGTGCATGCCTTTTGATTTGAGTTGAGGATGAACTCTCTCTAATCATCATACTTAAGAGTTCACTTGTTTGATGTTGGTTAAATTATGATGTACTTGACAATCATATACTTGTTTTTATGAAGAAAATAAGGTTAAGGTGATCTACTTCTACTCTGGCATTTTATGCAGTGGTCTAATCTGTAATCTATTATTTATTCTTGGAAAATGAATGTCATATGTCATTTGATAACTCTTTTTCTCTAGGTTCTGTTCTAACTTTTTCACTTCTTCTTTTTCTCCCTGGACTGCATGTGATCACAGGTTCTCACTGGATATGTGAAAAGCATTGAAGATCATGGTTACATTCTTCATTTTGGATCATCTTCATTTATGGGTTTTTTGCCAAAAAAGAGTCAAGCTGGTAAATACTAAATTACTTATATAGTAATCTGTTATTTCTACTCCTTCACTGTTGTCCTTTAATTTCATCAACATAGCAACTGAACTAGTTAATATTTTGTTCTTTGTAAAGTAAATATAAGTCACTCGCAAATGGAGATGACCCTATAGTCCACAAGGTATGAAGAAAAAAGGACCTTAATAAACAATTACATGTGAGTTGTGTAGTGGGTTAAGCCATGATTCATTTGAGTTTCCAGGTTAATATAAATAAATAAATGGAAAATTAGCTATAAGGATAAATAATAGTTTGATTTGAGCACATTATGAATTAGTAATTCAACATTTTGTCTGACGTTTATTTATACCTTTTAGTTTGGTTAATTTGATTAGTATTTTATTATTTAGCATTTTTGTGGTCATTTTAGAAGGTATGGAGGCTGAAGCTAGGACTGGGCAACTTCTCCAAGGGGTTGTTGGACGGATTGATAAAACTCGTAAAGTTATCCATCTGAGTTCTGATCCTGATACAGTGTCTAAATGTGTGGTATGTTGCTTTCCGGCCATCACATTTATAGTTTAGTTGTCTTTCTGTGTTTTTCCACTCTGGTAAGATATCTAATTCTATTTCCTTGCATAGACTAAGGATCTCAAAGGTATTTCAATTGATCTTCTTATTCCGGGCATGATGGTTAATGCTAGTGTTCGATCAATCCTTGAGAATGGGATTATGCTGTCATTCCTTACATACTTTACTGGGACGGTAAGTTTGTCCCTTTTTTTGTCATTAATAGCAGCTACTTTTAACTGTTTATGTGTAACTTTTGTTTTTAACTTTTACAGGTTGACATGTTCCATTTACAAAACAAATTTCCTAATAAAGACTGGAAAGAAGAGTACAGTCAAAATAAGAAGGTATTTGTTTAATGCTACTCTTGCTTTGAAATTGGCTTATAACAATGAGTTGAATGCCAACTATTTCTTTAGATGGTAAGTGCATGCTATGGCTCTTTGTGCATTAGTAATTCAGTTATTCTCCTATAGAAACTGGAAAAGAAGTTATCAAAGATTTTATAATACAAATGTCAAACTTGTAGTGCTAGTAATTTATATAGAACATCATTCTCATGCAATTTCTGCTCAATTACATTTCTGTTTATGTCAAGGCTTTGTTTTCTTTTTGGTCATTCCTTCACTGTTGTATCCAATTTCTTTCTTGTTTTGACATTTTGTAATATATAATTTTTAATTATTTCTTCTTTCAATCTCCATCATGCATACATCATCTTTTTTCCAGGTTAATGCTCGAATATTGTTTATTGATCCTTCAACTAGAGCTATTGGTTTGACCCTGAATCCTCATCTTGTGCAGAACAAGGCTCCTTCTTTGGTATGTTAACTAAAGATATTGAGATTCTTTATGCTAGTTCTATTTTAACTGGCTCTGAAAAGATAAAATTTGCAATTTGAGGCTGTCATTGTATGTAATCTATTGATTCTGTTTAACATTTTAACTTAAGGTGATTTTTATTCATCTGGTATACAATAAGATTGTGCCATCATCACAAAAACCATCGCAGGCTTATTGTGTTGCACTAATGAATATTGATGGTTCTTAAATGCATAAGTGCATTTATCATTTGTCCCAGTATTGCTGACTTCAATGCCACAAAGGAAGTCCTTTTTGCTTCTTTGATCATCCTATCTTCTTTATAGCACTCCTGCTTATGGGTTTTCCTTTTCTAGTTTGCTAAGGAGCTTACATGATTAACAGAGCTTTGTTTCCTGTTGTTTCTTTACAACTTTAATTGGGAGAATTTTTATTTACTAAAATGAATGTATAATTTTGGGGGTGGGGGTGGGGGTGGGAAGCTAATTACAGTCATGCCTCATTATTAACCAATATATTATGGGTTTTCATGCAGCATGTTAAAGTTGGAGATATTTATGAGCGGTCAAAAGTAGTCCGGGTTGATAGAGGACTGGGGCTTCTGCTTGACATCCCTTCTTCACCAATGTCAACTCCTGCTTATGTTAATGTATGTTCCAGTTGTTGCTTGGTTTTCTGTATTATTCAGAGTATTCTTATCCTTTGAATGGTAATTCACTGTTTACACTGAATACAGATATCTGATGTTGCTGAAGAAGAAGTTCAGAAGCTTGAAAAAAAGTTTAAGGAAGGGACCCATGTTCGTGTTAGAGTTCTTGGGTTCAGACTTTTGGAAGGAGTTGCTACTGGGATTTTGAAGGTCGCTTTCTCACTTTACAATTTGAAAGTTAATGAAAGTTATTGCTCCAGTTGAAGGGGTCTTTAATGATGAAGATTATTTATTACTGAGTATTTATCCATATCCTGCTGTTTTCCTCTCAAACAGGCTAGTGCATTTGAAGGGCCAGTATTCACTCACTCAGACGTCAAGCCTGGGATGGTGGTGAAGGCTAAAATAATCGCTGTTGACAGTTTTGGTGCAATTGTGCAATTTCCAGGTGGTGTGAAGGCACTTTGCCCTGTCCGACATATGTCTGAATTTGAAATTACAAAGCCAGGAAAAAAATTCAAGGTCATATCTGGGATGGTTCTTTTTGTTATTGGTTAATTTTGAAATTCTAACTAAAATATGAAGCTGTACATTTTTATTTGCTTTTGTTCCCACACAGGTTGGAGCTGAATTGGTCTTCCGGGTGCTTGGTTGCAAGTCCAAGAGAATAACTGTTACCTTCAAGAAAACTCTTGTAAATTCCTTGTTCATGCTTTACTTAACTATGCTTATATTCTTTGGTGGTTATCTCTTAATTTGCTCTGTGGTAGATTACCTTTGGTTGAATATTATTGCAATAAGATTTCTAGATGGTCAGTTGTGACCTTCTCTGGTTTCTATTAATTATGTTGTTCACTTGGGTGAACATCCTTTCAATGAATGGGGTAAACTCTTCTGCCCTTCATCTGGGATGAGAGTTTTTATTTAGAAATTTTGGAACTGGAAGGATCATGGTTGTTAAGTTGTGTTGTCCTGACATTTAAAACACCATCTGCTCAACTTTTCCATACAGCTCCCAAAGTTTTCCCCTAGTTTTAATTGTCACATTAGATGCTCCTTGTACCTATTGTCTTCATCATTCATCCCATTAGTTGAATTAGTTCTATGCTAACACCCTCAGCAAATTTATCCATCTGTGCCCATCTAATGTGATTTGTGACAAACTTGGTAAAATAAAGTGTATTATTTTTTCTGTAAGCAAATATTATTATCTTTTTTATTTTTATATATTATTTCAGTCAAAATTCATGCAGTCCCTAGCTATTGCTATTCATTTTTACAAATATCATACTCATTTGGAGTCATAATCTAATTTTCGATGCTCTTGCAGGTGAAATCAAAGCTTAGTATTATAGCTTCCTATGCTGATGCAACTGATGGTTTGGTAACACATGGATGGATTACAAAGATTGAAAAGCATGGATGCTTTGTCCACTTTTACAATGGAGTCCAAGGATTTGCACCTAGGCTAGTAAACAATTCAGATGCATTTTCATTGATTTGCATATCTAGCTTCAGTGATACTGATTGACGTTCTGTTCTTTCCTATCTTGTGTTATAGTTTGTAAAGCTTAGTTCTTAAAATTATAAATTTACTCTCAAATCCTTAGACAGTGATAGTTCAAGATCTATGGTAGATGAAATTAGCAGCAGGTGCCAACAGCAGGATGGATGTACTGAAAATTGTTAGCCAATTTAGTAAATCTAGAGCAGTCATGGATTAGGAGAGAGGGCTGAGTCTCACTTTTCAATTTTATTTGTGAGATTTTACTGCACTTGTTTACAATTAGTTCATGTCCTACGTTGTCTGTGCTAAGGAATTAGGTACACTAGTTTGCCTGGTTGTTTCCAAATCTTCCTTGTATTATGCTTTTATGTGTCTTGTTCTCCCCTTTCTTCTTGTTATAACCATAAAGAAGTTAACCTGATTTAGCATTGCTTTCCTTTGGCTTTGTTATCTGGGACTGTTATTGATTACTATCCATTATATACCAGATCTGAACTTGGACTAGAACTGGGAAATGATCCAAGTTCAATGTATAATGTCGGACAAGTCGTTAAATGTCGCATAACTGGTTCTAACCCCACTTCACGGCGGATCAACCTTAGTTTCCTGATGAAGCCAGCAAGGTTTGATTCTCTGAGTCTTTATTTGTTGTTGTACTGTTATTGTATTTCTTTTTCCATTTTTATATCTTTCAAGTTTTTAAACTTTCTCATGGGTATATCCCCTCCCTCCTAACTTGTAGTCTTTTGACACCATCCCTAATCTACCATCAACTTTAGCATTGCTGTTTGATGCATGTGCTTAAATTAATTAATCTGATTGAAAAGCTGCAGTTCAAATGTGGCATTTTTTGTGAAGTGATGATTTTAATAGTATGTTCCTCCTTTTTCTTTTTTTTTCCCTTTTTTTGAAAACTTAAAACAATAGGGTTCCAGAAGATCAGATGGTGAAGTTGGGTAGCATTGTTTCAGGAGTTGTTGAAAGTGTGACCCCTCAGGCAGTGTATGTATGTGTTAATGGAAAAACGTACTTGAGGGGTACAATTTCTCCTGAACACTTGGCAGATCACCATGGTAATTTTATTTTTTATTTATTTATATTTTCCATTGTTAAAGCTTTTCATATAGTGTTATCCTGTGCTGTGCTGGCATTTGCTGAGTTCAGTCTGGTTTTGCAGACCATGCTGCTTTGTTGAAGTCAGTTTTGAAGCCTGGATATGAGTTTGATCAACTACTGGTATTAGGTATCTTAAAGCTTCTTGCTGGAAAAGAAACCTTTCAGATGCCAACTATTGTTTTTGCTGCTGAAATTTTTCCAATTTAGTAACAGAAAGAAAATGAAGATTGAACCTACCTGTACACCAATGTGGCTTGAGCTGCATTTTCCTAGCAAAAAAGGAAAAAATTTGAATTAAATTTAGTTTCTTAAGTGGACAGAAGATGAGTTTATAAAAAGTCAACAAGCCTTTTAGAAAGAAGATTAATTAAACTTAAGTGGACAGATGATGAGTTTGTAAAGAGTCAACAAGCCTTTTAGAGAGCCTCCTGCCTTTTCTCAATGAGTTCTGCGAATAAATAGCCCTTTAAGATGCAATTGGCTAGGAATTCAATTCTTTTTGTTTACTTACATTCAATATCACCTTTAAGGGAGTCATAATGAATACAAAAAGTTATTGAATATTTATGTCTTGGCTAACTTTGAAATGTGCTAGTGCATATCATAAATCCTTCTACCTGTCAGAGAGAAAAGCCACCTAAATTTAAAATTCAGGCTGCAATTTTCTGCTGTTATAATATGAAGTGTTGGCTGGCAACATTCTTTGTGTATTTATCTTGATCGTGATTAATTCTTTATAATGTTTCATGGATGTTGTGTAAATTCTTGATGCCAAAACCTACTTCTGTGCTTCCTTTCTATTGCCTATTGTGTCTCACGAAAAGGAATATTTGTGGCAATCATTATTTTAATCCTTCTATTTGGGTACTGCTCTTTTTTCACGTCCATTGATGACTTTTTCTTTTCCCTTTTTTTTTCAACACTTTTTCTTATTTGACATGTTGAAATTTTCTCTTATGTTGTTTCAGACATTGAGCCCAATAACTTGCTACTCTCTGCAAAATATTCTCTTATAAATTCAGCTGAACAGCTGCCTTCTGATCTCAGTCAGCTTCACCCCAACATGGTGATCCATGTAAGTTAAACACACACATATTTGACAAGTTTCTATATTTTATGGCATTACTTGTTAGCTACACTTAAGCGCCAGTTTTCACTACCATGACAATTTTCGTTTTTTTTTTTTTTAAATCAGGGTTATGTTTGTAATTTAATTGAAACTGGCTGTTTTGTCCGGTTTCTTGGCCGCTTGACTGGCTTCTCTCCAAGAAACAAGGTAAAAATGGCTACCCAGTTCTATTTGTTTCATTAAGTATAAAGATAAACAAGCACGCAGATCGAAGATAGACATACATGCACGCCTTATCCACTTTATTGGTACTCATTCTCAACTAGGTACATATTTGTGTGCATGCATGTGTGCACAAGTATATGCATTGGTCCCTGTATCTGTATTCTGCCCCTCTCATGTTGACTAATTTATTTTCTTTTGAAGGCAATGGATGACCACAGAGCTGATCTTTCGGGAGCCTTCTTTATTGGTCAATCTGTTCGCAGTAATATACTGGATGTCAGTGAAATATTGGAAACTGAATTCTTTAATTTAAATGGCAGTAATTGCCATGGATCAGAGTCGTTACTTTACCATCCAACACTATTCTTCCCTTGTTTCTTACAGGTCAATAATGAAACAGAAAGAATAACCCTTTCCTTAAAGCAGTCATGTTGCTCATCAACGGATGCATCCTTTATTCAAGAATATTTTATTTTAGAGGAGAAGGTATATTTATTGCCACATAGCCTTTTTTTTATCTTTTTGATGATTTGGTGCTTTTTATCTCTTAACATCATCTGAAGCTGCTTTATAAGTATCTTTTCGGTAATTTTCTGGCTAAAGTATGGTAAATATGGTGTTCTTATAACCAACGGAAAGCAAACAAATGGTAATGTTGAAATTTTACATTGGCCAGTATTTATGAGTTTAGTGTGTGGAAAACTAGATGGTTTTTTTTTTTTTTTTTTGGATGTAAATTAATTAAAATGAAATATTTAAATATTTTATTTTAATTGTGGTACAAGATAGAAGCAACATACTTGCAAAGTTTGAGAATCTACTTATTTATTCATTTATAAGCTATATTTTGTTTTATTTTATACAATTACTTATTGGGATTTCATTCCCTGGATTTAGATTGCTAAGCTGCAATCATCAAAGGCTGATGGATCTGAGTTAAACTGGGCCGAGGGATTTAACATTGGCTGCATTGTTGAGGGAAAAGTGCAGGAGACAAAGGATATTGGAGTGGTTGTCAGCTTTGAGAAAAACAATGATCTTTTGGGGTTTATCACCCATTATCAATGTAAATTTAATTTCAGGAATTTTGGTTGACTCTTCATTTGTTATTACCTTGTGATGAGTAACTTTCTACTGCTTACATATTTTCCAGTAGTTGGGACCACTCTGGAAACAGGATCCGTTATTCAAGCTGCAGTTCTTGATGTATCCAAGTCCGAACGTCTTGTTGATTTATCTTTGAAACCTGAGTTTGTTGATAAATCAAAAGAGAAAAGTTCCAAAAGCAAAACTCACAAGGTAGAGCCAGTTTTTGTGCTTCTCTTGTTTTCCTTTTCCCTACATGCACCCTTGAGAAGCATCTATTTGAGCATTTGATTTTTATACTCTCCGGATATATCATTACCCCTTTGAATATGTTGGTGTCAGCATTGTCATATTATGTAATTATTAGTGTTCTATTATCATGCCTTCCTTCTATGGGCCTAATTTGGGCATCTTTGATTCCAGAAACGCAAAAGAGAAGCATCAAAGGAGTTGGAGATGCACCAGACAGTAAATGCCGTCGTTGAGATTGTTAAAGAGAATTACTTGGCAAGTGATGAACATTGTTTAGTGAGATGTTAAGTTGTTGATTTCTTCATGTGTTCTCAAACTCATTTTTGAAATTTCAGGTTCTTTCCTTGCCTGAGTATAACGATGCCATAGGTTATGCTTCAATTGCAGACTACAATACCCAGAGGTTTCCTTCAAAACAATATGTCAATGGGCAAAGGTAAACGTGGCCTGTTGATGATTATCTGTTAACTTGTACGTTCTCTAGTTTAATATTTTGTAGTTTTTTTTTCCTTATTGCATTTCATTCCTGTAAGTATTTTGTACTGTTCCTAAAAATTTCACCGTTGTCTGTATAATTTGAATGTTGACCTGCCAATGTTCATCTCTGGGATAATTCTTATGGGCTGGATGTGTCACCCATCATGTATCATTGCACCGTGTGTTCATGTTTGTCATTACTGCTAATAATGTATACAAGTGGCTTGCAATTGAACTTACCTCAGAATTGCTAATACAGTGTCATTGCCACTATTATGGCCTTTCCAAGCCCTTCAACTGCAGGGAGGTTGCTATTGCTCCTTAAATCTATAAGTGAAGCTGCTGAGACATCTAGTTCAAAAAGGGCTAAAAAGAAGTCCAGTTATAATGTGGGGTCTTTGGTTCAGGCAGAGGTAAAATAATCTTCATTATTTCTGAATGTTGCCTTCTAAACTGTTGTTAATCACAGGAAGGTGCTTTTTTGTTGTTAGCTGATTTGAAGGATAATTTGATTTATGTTTTCACTGACAAAACTATTGTTAACTACTTCACAGATTACTGAAATTAAGCCTCTTGAATTGAGAGTGCAATTTGGAATTGGATTCCGTGGGCGGGTTCACATAACAGAGGTGAAATTAGTGAATGATTTGATTTCAATATATTACTTGTTATTTTTTGTTCAACCTACTATGTGTGCACTTCTTTTGTTTTTCATGTAATTAATTAGCTATTATTTTTGAACTTGTCCCTTGTGCAGGTGAACGATGATAGCATAGTTGAAAATCCATTTTGTAACTTCAGAGTTGGGCAAGCAGTCACTGCAAGAATTGTTGGAAAGTCTGATAATAAGAAAGGAAACCAGTGGGATCTCTCCATCAAACCCTCAATGCTTTCTGGTAATATAATATATTTCTAAAAGTTTGTTAAGTTGGTATAGTTTGAACTGTTCATTCTTATTTTGGAAGTTGGAAAATGCTTATCTAAACTTTACCATTGTTTCTGATTTGTTAGAACAACTATGAATGGCTGGCGTTTGCCACATAACCTTTTTGATTGCTGTGCTATATTTTAAACTTCCTCATAGAACTTTTCACTACAGTCACTAGGAATTCTTTTTCCTGAAAAAATCTACTGATTTTTTTGGGATGCTGTCATCATGATTTTCAGTAAATTTTTTAGTCCGTTTTACATCAGAATACTAAGGAAACTTTATGCCTAGGATCATTTGTTCAGTTATAAACTAGGAAAATCCGTTAGTCTCAGCTGATACCTTTTTCCATCTCCTCCTAAGTGAGGAACCTGAATAACAGCTCAATGGATACTTAGAACATGATCTTGGTTGTTGCCTTCAACCTCTTGCTGGTTCTTCTTTCTACTACTGCTTTTGGTGCTCCTCCATTTTTTTTTTTTCTTTTTTGGTTAAGTTCACTAGTTAACTCTATTATGGGATTTTCATTTCATCCACTCTTTCTCTTAGCTAGTTTTCTGCTGACACCATTATTACCTGCTAGAGCTAGGGGCAGTAGATCTCTGAGGATATGTATTGATCTATTCTGTTTCCTGCAACATTTACCATTTTTTCTAATGTTTCTGACGTCTTATGTGGTGGATCTATGTCACAAATTTATCCAGGTACCGTTGAGATAGGTGACAAGTTTACGGATGAAGAACTCAATTTTTCAACAGGGCAAATTGTCAGTGGTTATGTGTACAAAGTGGACAGTGAATGGGCATGGCTAGCAATATCTCGAGATTTGAAGGCTCAACTATTTATTCTTGACAGTTCATGTGAGCCTACTGAACTTCAAGAATTCCAGAAACACTTTTATGTTGGAAAGCCTGTCTCTGGGCATGTTTTAAATATTAACAAGGAAAAGAAGCTATTACGATTGGTGACACATCCTTTGGGTGTTGCTGGCAAAAGTATTGATGGAAAGGATAGTAAGGTAGATGATTCACATGGTATCATTTCTGATGAGAATGTTACAGCTCATATTCATGGAGGAGATATTGTCGGTGGTAGAATCACAAAAGTACTTCCAGGTGTTGGTGGATTGCTTGTGCAAATTGGTCCTCACACGTATGGTAGAGTTCATTTTACTGAACTTAAAGATGCATGGGTGTCTGACCCATTATCTGGATATAATGAAGGACAGTTTGTTAAATGCAAGGTCTTAGAAATGAGCCGCTCAGTCAAAGGCACTGTTCATGTCGATCTGTCATTGCGTTTATCTTTGGATGGCATGCTTCCACAGAATGATGGGTAAGCTATTGTTCTACCAGTCTAGATACTTTTCTTTTCTTTTCTTTTCCCTTTTTTTTCCTGACAGCTTATTCCAGCTATATGGTATACTAGTTGGTGTATTCATGTTTGTATGACATTGTATATATGGATGGATGACTTATAATTGGTGAAGTTGAAGTCTTGGACACATTTTTTATTCAGATGTAAGAATTAACTAGTTTCCTGATTCTGTGTGCCGTTATGGCTTCTTCCTATTATCCATGGACATCAATTAACAAGTTGACAGTACAGGGTCATTCCCATTCATGACTACTTTTTGATTAGGCTACAAAAGGAAAATTATTAATTTGGAAGGTTTTGCTTTTCACTGAATTTCTGTGCCATGCTTATGATTCTGCTGAATCTATGAATGGTCAAGATGTTGCCACTGATGATTTATGTTGCATTAGCATGCAACCTATGTAGTTATTTTGAATTGTGTTTGTGTTTGGCTTTCTATGTTACTTACAGAGAAATGGTTTGCAGAGATACTAGTAGCAATCGTGTGCAGAAAATTGAGGATCTTCATCCCAATATGGTTGTGCAGGTATACTTTTTCTTCTTCAATTATATTAAATGTCACCTCTAACTTGCTGCAACTGTACCGCACTTTCATTTACTGGAAGTTTATATTGCAAAACATGCAAGAGGGTTTAAACTCCATTCTTGTGCTGCTGACCATTTTCCCTGTGATAAAATGGTATACTATTTGTAGAAGTATATTCAAGTGTTTGCATTTTTATATTTTCTCTGAGCAAATGATGTTTCTTCATTGTAAAAACACCTATCGTGCTTGCATAGAATTATACTTTGCTTCTGTTTTTCTGTTTTTACTAGGAATTTCAGTGGCCATTGTCAGCATCTGGGCCATAAATTATTTCAGTTCAGCTTTCATCATAACTAATAATATCTGAGCCATGTCTTGTTTATTTAACCATGTTTCATTGATTGCTAATGGAGGTGGACATACTATTCTGTAGATTTTCAGTTTGCTTCCTTTTTGCTGATATTTGTTACAACCATTATGCAGGGTTATGTTAAAAATGTTGTCCCAAAAGGATGCTTTATCCTGCTTTCACGCAAGCTTGATGCAAAAATTCTCCTCTCAAATTTATCAGATGGATATGTTGACAATCCTGAAAAAGAATTCCATGTTGGGAAGCTCGTAGTAGGCAGGTGGGTTTTTATCATTCATACATCTCACTTCATGATTTTATTAGTACCCAGAATTTATGGGCTTATAATTGTGGCAATGTGCCAACAGGGTGTTAGCTGTGGAGCCTCTATCAAGACGAGTTGAAGTTACCTTGAAAACATCAAATGCAACCAGTGCAACAAAATCTGAAATTAATGATTTTAGTAGCCTGCATGTTGGAGATATAATTTCTGGTAGGGTCAAGCGTGTGGAACCATATGGTTTATTTATTGCCATGGATCACACAAACTTGGTAAGGAACAGGTTGCATTAAGTTTATACTTCGTTTGCCTACAATGTAGATAGGATTATAGGGTGGTTTTGCCTACTTTTAAATCCCCTTTGTCTAAGTGATTCCCTTTAGGCTATAAGTTATAGCTGTTTATCAACCAGTTTCCTCACTCAGTTTTTAAAATGAAAAAAAAAAAAAAAAAAAAAAAAAACTCTTGATGTGACATTGTTAAAATGTATGTTAGTATTAGGGTATTTAATAAAATTTAAAAAGTGCACCCAAGTTTTATATCTCAAGTCTCAACGATTATAAGTCGAGGTCTTAAGGTATATCTTAAATTCAAAAATTAAAGTTTGAA